CACTAAAAAGTTATTTGAGGAAATACTGGCTGAAAAAGCCCCCAAATCTGTCAAAAGTCATAAACATGCAGATCTAATAAACTAAGCAAAATCCAAAGAAGAAAGTCAAAAGAAATCAGTGTCAAAACACATCAAAGTCAAACTTGGAAAAATTGTGACTAGCAAGGGAGAAACAATACCTTTCCTATAGAGGAAAACAGTTCAAGTAACAGTAGACTTCTCATAAGAAATAATGGGAGGAAAGAGGAAATGGTAGGACCCTTTTCACTGATTGAAAGAATCAGTTCAGTGTTCTTTATTCAGTAAATACGTTCTTAAAAAACAAAATGAAATCCAGACATTCTCAGATGGAGGAAAGTTATAAGAATCTATTGCCAGATTTCCTAACTTAAATGAATAGATAAAAAGAAAGAAAATGCTGAGATGGAATCTTGGAACATTAGAAAGAAAGAATATGGAACATACAGAAAATGGGTAAATATAATAGACTCTCTTAAGTTTCCTAAATTAGCTTTCTTTGATGGTTGAACACAATCTAATTTAGTTTTCTTCAACATGTGCAGAAAAAAATACTTATAAACACAAGAGACTGAGCCAAGTATAGTAGCTCAAGGCTGTAATCCTACCTTTTTGGGGAGGTGGAGGTTGGGATATTGTGGTTCAAGGCTGAGATTCCATCTCGTTAATGGCTGGGCATGATAGCACTCACCAGATCCTAGCAGTATAGGGAAGCAGATAGAAGGATCATAGTCCAAGCCTGCCAGGGCATAAAGTGAGATCTTACCTAAAAAAGTAACCAATAAAAATGGCTAATGGAATAGGCCAAGCTGTAGAGGGCTTGGCTAGCAAACACTAAGTCCTGCGTTCAATCCCCAGTACTGCCAAACAGACAAGCAAACAAACAAGGAGGGTGAAGACATGGATATTAAAGAAAGAGTTCTATACTTTGCCCCAATTTGTAATGTCAGTATCAGCAGATTGATATGTTAGGCACATATATTAAAACATCTAAATGAAACATTAAAAAGTCAAACATTAAAAAGCTACATATAAATTAAAATAGAATTCTAAAATCATGTGCAAGTAATCTATAGGAAGATAAAAATAGAAAACAGAGTGAACAAGCAGAAAAGAAAAATTAAATGTCAGACTTGTTGGCCTCACTGTATCAACTATTAATATATACATTACAATATATTACTATATATAATATATATGGTTTAAATATACTATTTATAAATATAGATTAACTGATTATACAAGAAATCATGAACCAATTGCGAAGTGTCTGCAAAACCTCACTTCAAAAATAATTCAAGAACGAGAATTAGGGTTAGGAAAAAGATATACATGTGAACATTAATAAAAAGAAAGTAGTGTATCAGAAAAAGCATTTCAGAGTAAATAAAAGTCTTAAGGGAAAGGAGTCTTAGGAGTAAGAATGCAAAAGAGATCAATGGTACCATCCAACAGCAGGATCCTATTAAATCTTATAGAATACTCCATTGAAAAAGGGCAGAACACACATTCTTTTTAAGTACCCATAGAACATCTACTAAGATAGACCATATTCTGAGCCATTAAACTACTTGAACAGATTTAAAAATCATTGAAACCATACACAATGTGTTTTCTGAGCACAGTGGACTCAAAGTAGAAATTAGTAAATGAAAAACAACTATAAAACTTCCAATCACCTCTAAACTAAATAACATTTCTAAATATTTCAGTTTGAAGTCTCAAGGGGACCTTAAAAACACATTCAAGCCATTGTTTCTAACACATTTATAAGATTATTTCTTTGTTGCTTTGTATGTCCCTCCCCCATGGTATAATCCCTGCTTTCACTGTATTTGATGTCGGTATAATTTGTGGAGGGGAATGGGAAAAACAAATCGTTTAAATAGGGATACAGGTGGACCCATTGCAACAATTAGATGTACAAGTCGTTATGTTGAAAACGAACTTTACAACTTTGGTGCGGGGGGGGGGGGCGAGGGGGAGTGGGGAGGATTGGGGGGGCAGGAGGAGGATGGGAAGGGATGGGAAGGGGAAACAAAGGAGGAGGCTACAATGCTTGATAGGAAATGTACTCATTATCTTGCCCATGTAATTGTAACCCCTCTGAACATTATTTTCACAATAAAAAAATATATATAAAAACACATTCAACACCCAAAAATATTAATACAAATACCAAAAGCCATGGTACACAGCTTAAGGGAAAACTACAGTGAAATGTTTATATTAGAAAAGAAGAAAAGTTACCTGCCAAATGCCAACATCCATGAAAAAGGAACAGAACAGGAGGCCAAGAGTAATTGGGGGAATAAACCTTTCTCAGAGACTACAAACCAAGAGTCTTTCCTTCTGAACTATATTCCCTAAAATATACCAGCACTAAACCTGCACTAAGTCTAATGGCCTTACAACCATTAAAATAATGGAGAGAAAAGTTCAGTCATTAAAATCGTTCTTTGTATTTACGAAGTAACATTGGACGACTATATAACTCTGGGCCCCAATTTCCTCCTCTGTAAAACTGACTCTGTTTTGGTTGGTTGTTTAGTAGTGCTGGCATAGAACCCAACAATACAAGCACTCTATCACTGAGCTACCCTATTCTAATCATCTCTAAAGTTGTAGTGCTCTTTGTACCTAACTTCAGATTGTGATTATAAATGAATTAATACATATTAGGTGCTTAGTATTGTTTCTAGCATGCCATAAGCACTTTTTTTTCAAACATGATATATTTTCAGCGGCTGCTTCCCCTAGACATAAATTTTATATGGGTGCATTTCTGTTTGAAATCTATCAATTTCAGTTTCCTTTTAGGAAACTACAACCTAAACAGCAAAATCCTATAATTGATGTGGACAGCCTGTGGAACAATAGGAACGCTCATTCATCTGGTGGTAGTTTTAGTTGTGTTTCTGAATACTCTGTTGTATGCCATCCATCTATTTCTGAATCTTTAGGGTATGTCTACAGTCCAGATTGCTGTAGCTTTATAATGAGCCTGTAAATAAATAACTGTATGATCTCTACATTTGTTCTTTTTTTGTCAAAGGCTATTCTAGGTCCTTTGCATTTACATACAAGTGTGAGAAAATTTGCCAATTTCTACTTGAGTTTCAAGTTATTAATTAGGGTTTCATTACATCTGCCTATTAGAACAATTTGACACATAAAAAAACGTTGAATTTGCTGATCTATAATTGTCATGTCTATTCATTTGTCACCTTTATTGTCAGCATTGTTTTCTGTGTGTAGCTTATGTGTGTAAAAATTATCATTAAGTGTTCATATTTTTCAGGCCATTAAATATGCTATTGGTATTTAACTTCAATTTTCAACTGATAGTTGATCATTCACAGAACTGTGATAGTGTCCTTAAACTTTTCCTTATATACAACCTGCCAGCTAAATCTGTTTTTCCTCCTTTCCAGGTGAGGCCCCTTTCGTTTGTCTGTGTCATTGTGACTCATTCCACTGGGAGGACAGTACATGCATTTCTGGAAAGGGGGGGCACAGAGGGCATACAGCTACACAATTTTTTCTCCCTTGAACAGAAAAGCCTCAAAGAAGCGAACCTAATTCAGTAATACAGAGTAAATTGGAAACCACAACCTTTGCAACTATTTAAATTACAAACTTCCAATGATAGAATGAAAGCCCCAGTGCTCATAGCTATGATCTCCGTGATACATTTATAGTTTTTAATCCTCTCCTTTCTTACCTTTGCTCCTTCATTGAATGCCTTGGATTGTCTAATAAACTCAAGACTTGTCTCTAGTTCTACCTTAAAGAGTATTCAAAGGAAACAGGTATCAGAAATGGATTGCATTTTCTCAATACTTCTTTAGAAAGCTCACAAATCACTTACAGATTACTGTTTTAATATATATTATCTGTTTCCCCAAACATTTCCATCACAAATCCATCTTACTTTCCTGGGTTGGCTATGTTCTTGTATTCATACTGGAAAACTTTGATTAGCTAACAGACCAATCTTATTCTTTGTCCACCCCATCCTTCTTAATAACTAGTAAACAGATGACATTCAGTTCATTGAATTTCCAGTTTATTTAACAAGAGTTTCTAGGCATTTTATTTATTTCTCAAAACAAGTTTCTAAAGTATTATTCCCATTTTACAAACAAAAACAAAAGCTCAGGGAGAACAGTGCCAGTAAACTGCCAGAATAAAAATTCAAGGGCAGATTGCAAAGCTCATGCCTGCTCCATTATACTACACACTTACACACACACGCACACACACACACACTCATTCATTCATTCACTATTCATTGATAATAGTTCCCCCATATCCTGGTACAATCCAAGACACTATTAAGAAACAACCTCCCGAATAAATTCCTTCTCTTGGAAAGGAAATTGAAGATCAGATTTTCTGGATATGTAGACACAAACAAGGGAGCATCTTGTTTGTGAGGTTCTGTTTACATGAATTTGAGAGCTGGCTAAGTAAGCTGCATAACACCCATATTACACAGACCAAATATGGTTTGCAATAGGAATTTGTAGTTTCCACTGCAGAAAACTAAAATGATAGAAATAGCTAAAGCACATATGCTAGAAAAAACCATGACTTTGAAAAGCACAGGGTTCAAATGCTGTCAAATGCTGATGCTGCCACTTAAGTCTCATCCACAGTGTTTCTAAGTATTTCTAAATCTCAGCATCCTCATTATAAAAATAATGGGCCTTTTCACCTATCTTGCTACTGCAGGCACAAAGCAGGTAATCAGTAAGTGCTAATTTTCTGTCCTGGCAGTGATAATTATGTAGACTTAGTGAAGACACAGAATACCAGAGGTGAACAGGAATGCCTCACACTTCCATGGAGTTGTGTTATGAAAAGCAGTGGCTCCCAGAAGGGTTGTAAGGCAGCCAGAATCAGTACTTGAGGAGGCACCACAGCTGGTGATAAAATGGATGTGAGGAATGACTGCACACATCAAGCCTGGGCTCGGAGGGTGACGTGATGATAACAAAGAGTCACTGGCAGGAGATTCTGTTTGCTGGAGGGGAAACAGGATGGTTCATTTTGAACATGTGAAGTTTGAACACTTGAAAGAGTATCTGTTAGGAAAGAGGCTTTACCTGAAATTATAATACCTAAATTCCTTTAACAACAAGGTATGTTACTCCCATAGTATACGTCAGTAGAATCACAAACAAATATGAGAAAGTACAAATTGTATTTATCAGTGATATACTGAGAGGGATCCCTCCCCATCTAGGCTCAAATTCTATTCTGTATGAATAGCAAATAAAATGCCATCTTTTAAAGAAATACCCTCTAAATTAAAAAGAAAAAAAATCCTATGTGATACCTCAATCTCAAAGCCTATTCATTCCTTCAGTTGCTAAAAGGCTCTAGTTACTGATATGAGCTATGTTAAATGGATATGTACACATAGATAAACCGGTAGGTACTTTAAAGATCTCAACTTAAAAACTGTATTTCCAATTCATACATAGGAGCAGAACAAAACTTTTAACAATTCATAAATGGGATGTCCCATTTATTAGTTGCTAACTAAGTCAATTAACACAAGTTCAGTATCCTTTATTGGAAATACTTGGGACCAGAAATACTTGGGATTTGACAATTTTAGGAGGGAGTCAGAATCTTTGCTTTATATAACATAAGTATGAGATTTAAATTTACATGATTCATATACAATGTGAACATGCTGGGTAGAGGTAACTTCATGAGCCTGTATTTTGACCATGAACCTGTACTTGAGGTCTTATCCTCTCAGCACTCAAAAGTTTTGGCCCTTGGAGGATTTCAGACTTTTGAATTAAGGATGGCATCAAGAACAAATGCGCATTTCTTTAACCATGTTCACCAGAACTGAGGGAGATGAGTACTATGGGATGCAAAGGTCTTCTGACTTCCTGACAAGAATCTAGGCACCACCACTATTCCCAGGTGAGGGATGTTACTGCTCCATTTCTGTAAAAATGAAGACACAAATTAAATGTCCAAATACATTATTTTCAACACAAATGAAAGATTATAGTATCAGTCATGAAGCAGACATTGGCAAATTTACTCCACACATGGAATATAGGCACTATTTTTGTATTTTAATATGAAAATTTAAGCAGCTACCCACAATATGACCTCTGCTAAAGCTTTTCATTCACCAATAAATTTTTGACAAAGTTAATACATCACAAGTAAATACATAGGATTATATTTATGGTTATCTTTGGCACATTTGTCAAGTTGGAGAATCTCAAAGGCAATAAAATTGGACTTCTTTGCACATTCTTTTAATCTTTACATTAAAACATAAGGCCGCAAAAAGGCAAGATGAAATTTTAGGATATGAGGAATAGTTTTAATAAAATTTTACATACAGTACCTTACATATAGAACAGTGTGTTTGCAAATTTAAATAATATCTGAATGTACAGTGGCATGAATTCTTATCAAAGATAAATTCAAGTTCTCTGTCTACCAGTTCTGAAATGCATTTACAGATTGCTAGAACTGATAAACAGAATGAGGCATAAAATATTCAAGTGTTATATGTCATCAAATGGCCTCCTCTTAACAATCTCAAAAATGTCAAAACCTGTACATACATTTTTAATTTTTAAAAAGTCTGTTAAAAGGCAACATTTCATGTTAACCACCAATTTGTAGAGTCTATAGTAATAAAACTAGATATGTGTAATATAAATATGTGTTGGTTATGTACATGTTGAGTGTTTAAAACAAGCATACACACTTACGCATACCTGCTTATGTAGCACTGGGGGCACACACAACTCATGTGAGGACTGGCAGACAGTAGGACCTAGGCTCAAAATCCAGCAAGAGCTAAGACAGCAACTTAGTTGCCTTTGGTTTCAGAAAATCTGTTCATTTGCGATCAAAGCTAAAAGTCTGAGTGCATGTGTATTATTCAAAAATAAAATTCATCTTCTGAAATGAACCTTTTCCAGTATTCCACTACTAGCTAGCAGTTAAAAAAATCCACAGCCACAAATTATTTGATATATTTTTCACTCCTCATCCCAGCTGAGGTTATTTATATTTTTTTTCTGAAGGCAAACACCAAGCATATCCAGGATCAAAAAGTTATGTTGAACCTGAACACTGCCATTTAACTATATATGTGATATATGTGACAAAAAGGCTTCGGATGGACTCATGGTATTATGTAAGACTCGGGGTGTGAGAATGCCCACAATATTTAAATCCTCTGTCCAGCAGCAGCATCAACATTTGGCACATGGGATCTTTCTGCAAGCTAATTTGTTTTTAATAAGCTTAGTGCCTGCAGTAAATTCCAATTATTTGGTGCTTGTTTTTTAAATACATTCATAATGAAGTAAGAATTCCACAATTGTTTTTCTCAAAAGTGAGACTTCTAAACTGTCAGTTTACTGATTAAATACATTCATCACCCAAGAAACAACTCATGATCCTATGGAAGTTTAAATAACCTAAATTCTGTGCAGCTGGATTCAACTGCTGAGAAGGCAGTTCTTAGAGCAACCTTGAAGAACTCTCCAGAATTTAAATTTCCATTAATTTTAATTTTGGCCAAATGCTGGTTTATAAATATGGATCTTTCTATAAAAACTATATAAACGCACCATATTTCTTTGTACAGGTATCTTCAATTTCATATAAGCAGCTATTCAAAATTCCTGCCAATTTGATCCCCTTCTAATTCTATTTCGCTGATCCTTGGCATACAAAACATTGTCATTTGCAGCTTGCTTATATTTTTAATATTCACTTGATAAAGTTGCTCTTTTTCTTTCAAGGTGCCTTCTTATTGACATTACAAATCAGTAAATGACCAAACATCACTAAGCTTTTTAAAGTACACACTTAGTAATCATGTGAATAATAAAAATGATTGGACTGGAGAGCCATACTCTTGTTACTAAGTTCACCACTGTCATACAGAGCAAAGAGCTGCTATTTGCTGTACTTTGCCCATGTCGATTAGGAGCTGTTTTATGTGACGTTTAAGTTGGGGCAGTCTTGCGAGAGGATCTGGTGGTTCCAACTCCCCGGTAAAATCAAGCCAGCTTTCCAGAACTAAAAGAAAGAGAAGAGCACATTTAAATAATTTCTGGAAGAATGGTTAGAAAATGGTGTCATTAGCAGGTTGGAATAGTGACTAAGAGTTCATGTCTTTTGTCTTCAGAAGGTGAATATACTCAAGCCATTTTGTGTAAGGCTCAGTGGTGTCTGTACCCACTCCACAGTGATATAACATAGTCCCTCTGGCATTATCAATTTGTTTTTCAATGTTAGGAATTGATTCTGAAACCCTGTGCTCACTGGACAGGTGCTCTACAATTGGGCTAAATCATCAGCTCCATGTTTCCTTTATATATAAATTAGTTTCATTTTTAATTTCCCCTTCTATTCTTTTTCCTGGAATAATAAACAACAGCTCCTTGTGTCTGACCCAAGCTTTCTACTAATGTATTTTAAATCATCTCTATCCAGTCTTCCTTTTTCACAAAAGAGGTAGTGATTTCTATTGACCTTTTTAGCTTTACTATTTCATCACTATAACTTTTTTAATGTATGTACATTAAAATTCTAGTTTTACTGTCTCCTTTGAAAATATGGAATCAAGTCAGGCTGTATTTTATTTCTTCAAAAATTTACATCAGACAGTAAAATAACTCTATAACCAAGATAAAACCCCAGTGGAACATGCTTCTGCAAGGGTGTACTACCATCATGGGGGATAAAGAAGGCAGGAGTTCAACCTTGGAGAAGTGGTGAGGTGTTCCATGCTCTTACCAGAACAATAGAGAAGGAAGGTAAGAACACAAGAGTCAAAATGAATAAAAGAAACATGGGTTGTGAATCCAGTAACCCAGCTTATTCTGATTTCTCAGATATAAAATTTGTCTTGCTTAAATTTTGAGTTCCTAAGTAATGGTAATTTTTTATGATACTATTATGATACATTAGAAAATCTGTATGCAAACATAAGGCTTAGCTATTTAACTCGGGAAGCTGTTCAATTCCATGTACCCAATACTAACCAAAGTAAAACCATATGTTCACCATATTTTCCCTCATATGTCAAATGTGCTTATACTTGTTATGCTGATTTCCTGAGAGATAATGGCTCAATAAAACTATAAATATTCAGTAAATGTTGCATATTGAGCTTGGCAGGTGATAAGCAGTTTTTAATAAATATCCATCTCACAAAAATAAACATTAAGATAATACCCAATTACTCTGCCTTGAGCCTAAAAGACCCTATATGGGCTAATATAGTGCAAAGGGAGAGGGAAGGCCCTGTAGTTATAGAGAGAAGCTGTACTTTTCATCATATAATTAGTTTTAAACAACTTCTTTGCAATGGCATTGAACATACTCTATTAAATGCATCTTAGTTCTTTGTTAAATTACCATCCATTTCTTTTTCTATGAGGTCCATCCTGCTGGTGACTTCATTCTGCACATTTTCTATGTGTGTAAGGAGATTGAGCTGCCACTGAAGATGTGAGTCTCCTGGGTCTTCAGCGCCTCTTTTATCATTATAAACAGACGCCTTATTTCCTAAAGTTGGGTTCTTCTTCACAAGACCAGTAGAAAAAACAAAACATACTAAATTGGTTGAAAAGCAATGTCAACAGGGAAAGGTACATTAAAAAACCTCATTACCCACTATAATCTGTGCAATACAATTTGATTCCTAAGGATGTCTTTAAAGAAAAGTTCAGGTACATAATCAAATTACATGTAGTGGTCCTTTAAAGTACATTTCTCCCTCTACAAAGCCTATGTGTTTCAATGATACTTGATGAATTAAGTCAATAATCCTATTTTGCTCTAATGGGCCAATTTGGAACATTTCCTTCTTCAAGTAATTTCAACTGGTAACATTAATGAAGTAAGGGCCAAGTAATGGAAAAACAAAAGAACTGTTGAATACCAATACAAAGTCTAGTTCACAAAAGAGTGGACTTTACTCTTGTAGTTACATCAAGAAGATATGGTAAGTATCTAAAGTAACTAAGTAGTCTAAAAGCTTCAAGAGTGCAAGCTGTGCAAGCTTATGCCTGTCATTCTAGCTACTCAGGAGGCTAAGATCATAGTTCAAAGACAGCCTGGGGAGGAACGTCTGTGAGACTCTTACCTACGATGAACCAACAGAAAACTGGAAATGGTGCTGTGGCTCAAGTTGTAGAGTACTATCCTTGAGCTGAAGACTTCAGCTCAGGCACAACACCCAGGCCCAGAGTTAGAGCCCCACAGTTGACAAAACACACACACACACACACACACACACACACACACACACACACACACACACACACACACACACACACACACACACACACACGCTGCTACACACATACAGAGAACTTGCATTTGCAAGTATACTAATTTGACAACAAATATTTGAAACAACTTTCATAACAGCTTTTCAAATTGTTATATCCTTACCTGTAACAATTACTTGGAAAATAATTTTAAAGTGGCCATGGTAATTGAAAATCAATAGAAAATAAAAGACACAACTTATCAAAGGTAATCTCAACAAATAGGAAACAATATTTACAGATATTCAATATGCACAAGAAATTCAGCTTCTTACATACTGGAATTAATGTGCACTTACAAATATGCTGTTATTTAAAAGATAAAGTGTTATGTTGTCTAAAATACATTAAAAAGGCATTATTATAACCATACTTATTTTCATATTCTTTCACATAGACACTTTCATCTGGAATACAAGGTACCTCATTAGTTTTTAGAGGCATTTAAGTATGCTCATAAAATTCAAACTTTTATTAGTGTAACCATTTTTTTAAATTATATCAATTCTGAATTAGGTGTAACTAATGTTTAAGTGGATGGAATTTTCGAGCAGAACAAAGAATATGTGTCTTTTACAAGTACTGCTTCATGCAGTTTAGTATTATATACTTTCCATCTGTTGTTCCAGATGAACCTGTTTTACCTTTTCTGACATTCCATGCTCTTTTGCTGAATACTGGGAATGTCTTGTAGCTCCCAGGTAGAATTCTTGCTCTTCTTCAAAACTGCTAACATCGTCATCAGAGCTCCCAGGATCTACAAGAGATTTGTGGTCCTGACCAAAACTTTGTGGCTTTTGATAGCTGTGCTCGCTTGTTATGTAAGTTCCTTCCATTCTCAAGGGAAAACGAGGTGGCTCTTTATGGTTTTGTACATGTTTCTTTTCTTCTACATTAGCTGTGTCTTGAACTGTGATTTTTTTCTCCACTCCAGCTATTATTTGATCTTGGTCCTTTCGCTTCCCAGAACAAGCCCACAGGTGAAGGTCAGGATGATGTTTATTCCTTAAAACAAAAGTGAAGAAAGAGAAGTAAAGGAAAACATAAATAAAACAAAACAAACATGGTACAAACTTAAAACCATAATAAATTTCAAGTCCAAGTTAGCAGGAGGTTAGGAGCCATGACAAGAGAAAAGATTTTCTTTAAGCTAACTCACTCCAGTGTTTCATCCAAAATCAGATTCTCTCAATTTTAAAGAAATAATACTCACAAGAGCAATAATGAACATACTTCTATTGATCATTAATGTTGTCATGTCATACTTATATTTTCTATAAATTTTATATTGTATGTTACAAAAATATTTACGTGTGCAATTTAAAGATATTTACTCAATGAAAAAGCAAAAACTTGTGATAAAAGAATTCCAAGTATAAGCCAGACACCTGTGGCTCACGCCTGTAATCCTAGCTACTCAGGAGGCTGAGATCTGAGATGACAGTTGAAAGCCAGCCGGGGCAGGAAAGTCCGTGAGACTCTTATCTCCAATAAACCGCTAGAAAACTGGAAGTGGTGTTGTGGCTCAAGCGGTAGCGCGCTCACCTTGAGCTGAAGAGTGCAGGGATAGTGCCTAAGCCCAGAGTTCAAGCCCCACGACTGACAAAAAAAAAAAAATTCCAAGTATAGACAGAGAGAAATCAAACCTCTCCTCCTGCATGGCAATCATTAATGAGGTATGATAGTCCAGACATTTTGTATATACATAAAATTACTTTTGAATAGATGAGCATCCATGCTTTCTTATACAGTTGGGACTACTACAATCTGCCCCTTTCATATATATGTGTGTGTGTGTGTGTGTGTAAATATACATATATGGTATATATATGTATATGTTAGGGACACCTTACCACCAAGTACATACAGCTTTCCCTTACTTATACTGAAGTGGCCGAATGGTACTTATTACTTACCCATCTGATTTAGCTAACCAATTGCCCAATGATAGGCATATCTGCTTGCACGTACCCAAATACATTTATAGATTTGGAACTGCTGAGCAGCATGTATTTCTAATTGTACTGTATAACTGGCTTCCAAAGGGGGTATACTATTCACACCTCACCATGGGTCTATGGTAATGTCTATTTAACTCATCTTCACTAAACAAGTCTGCACAATACTGTGCAGTTAACTGAGTAGTCATGACAACTCTTAACTAAGTGAAAAAGCATGACTCTATCAGAGCTTAAGTGAATAAAGGTATTTGAGAAGCATAAACTTTTCTTGAGAGCTTGTTTGGAGGTTCTAGCAGGGGAGCACAGCTACTCGTATACCTCTGAGCAAAGACCAGTCCACCTCTATGAGGGACAGTCGTCCTCTTTGACAGAGCACTCAGCTTTGGGAGGGATGCACATGGAGTGGTGAGGGAGGAAGGGGACACTGGCCTCGCCAGCCAGATCAGCCGAATCAACTCTGGAGATCACTGGGGTGACAGATGTAGCAGCCAGATTGCCCTCACATCCCCATAAACCTTTCTAAAGGCTCAATAATGTTTGTATATTAGTACCGCCTAAATTTGAGTCAAATTATTTTTCTTCTAGTACTAATCATGCATTTTTTCTGAAATTATAAATTATCTTTTAGATTTCTATTTATTTTGCTTTTGAGACATAGTCTTTTTTTCCCCAGATTAATTTTTGTTGTTGTTGTTGTTGGTCATAGGGCTTGAACTCTTGGCCTGGGCACTGTCCTTGAACTCTTTAGCTCAAGGTGAGCACTCTACCACTTGAGCCACAGTACCACTTCCGGTTTTCTGGTGGCTTATTGGAGATTAGAGTCTCATGGACTTTCCTGCCCAGGCTGGCTTTGAACCACGATCCTTAGACCTCAGCCTCCTGAGTAGCTACTATTACAGGCATGAGCCACAGGCACCCAGTTCCAGATTAACTACCTTTATTAACATACATTAACAGTACAATGAGGTTCCACTGTGATGATTCCACAGATGTCTAGTGATTTTGAGCAAGATCATTTGATCAGTTCATTTGTCCTATCCATCCTCCACTTTTTCAAACAGTGTTTGGTGGTTTTCATTAAGTCATTTTCGCGCGCGCGTGCGCGCGCTTGTGTGTGTGTGTGTGTGTGTGTGTGTGTAATACATTTCTATCCTCTTTATCTTCCAATAGCCTCTTGTTTCCTCATTCTTCTTCCACTGTGTCCCCTTTTACACTCTTGTACTATTATCATCAGCATCAGCATCAGCACTTGGACATGTAGCTCTTGATATATAGCTCAGACCAGACTTGAAATTACGATCTTCCTGCTGCACCATCTCTAGTGCAAGGATTATATGTGCATGCCACCACATCTGGCTCTCGAATAGATTATTTTTTCTTTTTTGTGCTAATACTGGAGCTTGAACTCAGGGCTTTGTGCACTTGCTTGGCTTTTTTTATGCAAAGCCATCATTTTACCATTTAAGTCACTATCTCTAATAATTTAATAATTAACTAGAAAATGCTCATTTAAAATTCTCAATCAGTAGAAGGAATGGTAGCAAAAAAGATGGATTTTAATAATGCAGCAAGTAAATATTGCTATTCCCTCTGAGGAGCAAGGATAGGTGACAGAAGCTGCTTAACTATTTACCTTAAAGCAAGGTTTATTTTTACTGATTATTGTAAGGATTAATTCAAATCTCCACAAAACACCAGTTTCATGAAGGATCCATAATAATGCCTATTACTACTAGAAATATTAATATAAGGAAGGCCTGTAGGCACACAGGCAGAAATGATGAAGCTAAAATATTCTTAGTGTAATAATAAATGCAGAGAAACTCGTACTGATAACTACAAAGAAGACAAATTGGGTTTTAATCATTTTTAAAAAAGAACTGATATATTAAGCCATTCCTTTAGGTCTTAGCATTTACATGGCCTATTTTGTTTTTGTTTTTTGACCAGTATTGGGATTTGAACCCAGGAACTTGCCTTCTCCTCCACTGTTGTTGTTTTTTTCTGTTTTGTTTTTGTTTTGCTGATCCTACGGCTTGAACTCAAGGCCTGGGCACTGTCCGAGCCCCTTTATGCTCAAGGCTAACATTCTACCACTTGAGCCACAATGCCACTTCCAGCTTTCTCTCAGTAGTTTAAAGAGTTTCACAGACTTTTCTGCCCAGGCTGGCTTTCAGTCGTGATCCTTTTATCTCGGCCTCCTGAGTAACTAGGATTAAAGGTGTGAGCCACTGGCACCTGGCCCTCCCGTTTTGTTTTGATTTTTTTTTTCTATTGTTAATGTTCTACCACTTGAGCCAAGCCTCCACTTCTGGCTCTTTGGTTAACTGGAAGGACGATTTTTGCCTGGGCTAGCTTTGAACCATCTTTAGATCTCTCCTGAGTAACTAGAATCATAGGTGTGAGCCACGAGTACCCAGCTTACATGGCCTTTTAACAAAGAAATCTATACAATGAAAACAAATTTCACTTAACCAGTTCTTAAGTACTTACTCTTATATAGCAAACTAGGGATAAAATGCTAGAAGAGATCTGTGGTTCACCTGGAGGAGACAGGCAATAAAAAAGCTGAGTGCACTCTCAGTATGCACAGAACTTCCCAACTAGCCAGGTCACATTTAGTTGGGCAAGAGGCAATGCAAATTTATCTGCTAGTTAAGCCAATAGTGGAAGTGTATGCATGGCTTTGAGTAAAATCCTGTCTTACAAGAAAGCATGCCTCATGCATTGCTATAGCTGGACATTTGAGGAAAATGTTTAGGAGGGAAGGTGTGGCAGCAAAATACTTAAGATAGGACACAGAGTGCATGCTAGAGAGCTCAGACTTTGTTCACTAGACAACAGGAAGACTATGATACTAAAAGAAACAATCTCATATCTATCTTTCACTAAAATCGTACTGGCAACTGAATAAAGAATATATTGGAAAAGCGAAAGACTGGAGCCTCAGGGGATTGAAGGGCTGAGACAGTACTTCTGGGAGGAGGGAACAAAGGAGAGGGAGACAACAACTTCAAGGGAACAATGTGGAGACTCAGGAAAGCAGACAGGAGGGGAAAAGGATGGGGGAGTTCAAAGGAAGAAAATCTTGTGAAGAACTTTTCATTTTTTTATTTGTATTTTTGTTGGTACTGAGGTTTGAATTTAGGGTCTTAAATTTTCAAGGCAAATACTCTACAACTTGATCTATAATTCCATCTCTTCAGGCTTTAGGTTATTTCTCATAAAGTGCAATGTATCTTTTTGCCTGGGTTGGCCTCAGATCTCAATGCTTCCCACATAGCCAGAATTATGGATTTGAACCACCATGCCTGGCTTTGTTTGTTGAATCTTGCTAACTTTTTGGCTAACTGACCTCAAACCTGGATCCACTCCAAGTAGCCTGGATTATAAACAAGAAGTTATTATGGTTAGGCATTATCAGGAATTACAAGCAAAGCCTGGAGTAACATTTTGATATCGTAGTAAAAGAAGGCTTGCTTTACATTTTCTTCAAGGGAAATGTATTTGGGACTAAATGCAATTGGACCCCAGGATTGAATCTACCTAACAAAGAAAATATTCACTTTTTCTAGAATCCCTCTTGTTTCCTCATCACAGAAGACACAGGCTCACCACAGCAACTACACCTAATTTTCTGTACCTGGTGAGTATATAAGACTAGAACTAAACTGGTAGATGTGTTATCAATCTTTAACCATGCTCACCTAATGGCTACACGCTGGCAAACCTAGTCATTTAAAAATTCTAATGGCTACATGCTGGCAAACCTAGTCATTTAAAAATTAACTCATCTGCCCTTTTGAAAAGTAGAAATATCAACACTAGGTCTTCAAATGTCACTTTAAATATTTTTGTTTTCATATTTATGTCTAGTTGATTTTTATCCAAATGTGTATGAACACATGGCCCTCCCCAGCCCTTCACTTACTTTAGAATTCCGATCTTCAGCTGTAATCCGTGTAGCACTTCTGTCACACCATACACATCAGCAAGCAGATGATGTGTGGAAACTATCTTTTTGGCATTGAGATGAGAGTAATTTTCTTTTAAAAATGATAACCCGCACATTCTCCCATTATTCAACCAGTCCTTATCATAACGGTATTTTGCACTCCACCTCTGACCTGTAATGAAGTTGACATTAAAGTCACAAAGGATGCTACTTGTTCAGGTCTCCCTTCCACTGCTTCTCAGAGAGTAAAGCAAGTTTTGAAGCTACGAGTGCATTTACAACCAAAGTAAGACAATGTTGGAGCAATGCTGAGAAAAGGATCCTTCCACATGTCCCATATGTCAGCCTACTTAAGCAGGAGCAGCTCCATTTAGGATATGGTCAGAGGCAGACAGACCTGCAAAGGAAACTGATTCTTGCTTTCAGTTTATCAGTCACTTGTCTTCTAAAATGCTAAAAAGGCTGAACAAAAATTACAGGGTTTCTTCTTTAAGTACTATGTCTTCAGATGAAATGGAGTCGAGCAAATAGGAACCTTATTTACATGGCTATGATTTCACAGGATCCTCTATCATCCAACAGACTCAGTGTGAAACACAAATTAGATCCTATTACCATTAGAAGCTCTGTGTCTGTGTCCCTACTATGGGGCATAGTTCGTTTGAATCATTCACTTTTCCACAATGGAGGGCAAATAAAAAGTATCCACAAATGCTACTGGATGAGTGTCCACATTTTTTACCGAATAAGCACAGTGAATAGCATATTTCTACAATATATGCTGAAGAAACAAGTGTCTACATGTAGGTCAGAAACTTCCCTTCTTCTATTTTTTCTTGTTTTTCTTTCATAGGTATACAATCAATTTGCCTTTTATTAGAAATAACTTGTTTTCTGTTTTTTGGCAGAAATTATATATAAGAAACTTGCTTCTTAAAGATTCTCTAGGCATGGAGAAGATACAATAGACCAGAAGTCAATAATCTTGTTCTACCTCAGTCAGCTATGACTACTGCTTCCCCTCGACCCACAGCACACAGCTTTCAGTGCCAGTAGCATAAGATATTCTATGATTATCACTGATCTGAAGTGAGTTGGATATGTAGCACTACCAGAAACTTCTTTAAAATCGTATCAGGAGAATACAAGTGTAGACTACCAGTCCATTCAAATCACCATAAATAAGCTTAGTTGAAACTACTACACAGAGATAGACAAAAGCTAGTTCTTTGACAGGAAAAAAACCACATTTTCTCTTTCAATAATGAGAGGTGACTGTGTTGGTACATTAATGCTTAGTGAATATTTGTTTGTTTAAGTCATTAATATAAAACTATAACAGTGAGAATGTATTTGTAGTAAAAAAAAAAGAGTGAAGTATAACTAAGCAAGAAGTAGCACTGCCTTCTGTGGTGGGTCTTGAATATTACCAGCTATCAGCACATACAAAATATACAACCCAGCGCAGAGGGCCTACCTGGAGGGTCTCGGCAGATGTAGCAGATATACTGCTCTGGAATGCTCTCCTCCAGCAGCCCCATGCACACGCTGTGCTGCCAGCACAGACACTCTTCACACTGCCAGAGAACAGAAGACACATACGGTGTTGTCTGCAATGGGTCCCCACTCCCCAGCAAGGGTCAACGCCCTGCCTTCTAATTAGCTGGCTTGCTTTCTTGACACTGACAGTTCAACTCCTATGCAAATAACAAAAGCAAGTCATGATTTAAGATATGCTTTAATAAATTACTTAGGTTATAAAATGCCAGAATTCCCCTCCTCTATTGGTTTCTGTGGTAACCACTGTTTTTAAAACACCATTCTCTTAAAAACACTTTATCATCATGTTTTCTTAAAGCATTGAACTGTTGCCTATAGAAATGACCTCTTAAATATTTGCTAGCTGAAACTATAGATCTGCAGTTCCCTTATCTAAGAACACCTCTAACAAACAAGATTACCTTTTGTTTATTCCTGTAACCAGTATCTCCAAATCTTCCACTGTGTCATTCCAAAACACAAGTTAGTTTCCCCCCCCCCCCCCTTTTTTTTTTTTTACTAGAGATGCCTTTCCTACGAGGGAAGGATGTTAACCCTTACAACAAGTTTTCCCTTCTTTGAGAAAACAACTTCTTCAATTTCCGCTCACTGGAGGGTGACTACATACAAATTGTTGCACAACATGGATCAGATCAGTAAGAGAAAGACTACTGTGATTTCACTCTTACAAGTAAAGGTTGGCCCATTTTATGTCTAAGAATTTCATTATGGAGGCCTCAATCTAAATACCCTGTAGCAATCTAAAAGCTGTGGCTTTGATGTGATGGCTAGTACAAAGGAGAGGGCATCAGATGCACCTGCTGAGCACTGAAATAATCTGGGACTACCTGGATCATGAAGCCATTCTCTTCATCCATTTCACAAATACATCGTACAATTTCATTAAGAGCATCATCTTCATCCTGAGATTCCTCAAAATTGGTTGAATCAAAATCCTGATTGTACTCATCCCCACTCAGAAGCAAACTTTCTGTTGAAGAATCATCTAGGAACTCCATATCTGATAAGTCTAGAAGATACATGGAAAGGACACTCAGTACAGTTTTCCATTTCTTATGTCATTTTTCAGAAAGAGAGGAGCTATGAAGAGTGACTGTAAGGTATTAATCATTTTAATAGGGTGAAGACTGATGCTAATACATTATGTCTCCAGAGAAACAAACAGAGGCTTAGGTAATTCTCTTTTCTATCCTAGTGCATACATCATTGTAATGAACACTAAGTTACATAGATTATGGCTAGCTTTAGGAACTATTAAAATCTGTATTTCCTGTAAACTTTCACAAATGTTTTCCTTATGATCAATCATTCACAAATAGTAGCGCTTTTCTGGCTGCAGAGATTAACAACTTCAAAGAAGTGAAAGAGCTTCCCTAGGACATAATACTTACTATAATATGAAGAGCACCAGTAGGAGCAAAAACCACTACAACATATACACCAGGCACTGACTGAGTATTTTCAATAGGAGATTCATAAGTTGAATGAGTAACACTGCCAGGTAGTATAAAAGCCAAGTGACAGCCTCATTCTTTTTAAATATAACAGACTCATAATGTTTGTTCTTAATTCATCAGTACTCTTATCCCAGGGCCAGGAGTTCCCTAAGGAGTTTTTTTTTAACACTTTAATTTTGATAAACTGCATGCTAAGTGCTCAGAAAGAGGGTAGGCATATATTTAGTCATCCACAGTATGAGTGGAAGAGGTAAGGAAGATGAGACAAAGATTTTAGATTTAATCAGATTAGATATAAATTGGCATCATTTAAACTACAGAAGATTGTTATTTATATTTTAAATATTGACTACAGAGCTGACATAATCCTTCAGTAGATGTACATTGAGAGTACACTGAGACAATCTCAAGCCCCTACACCACCAAAAATAAAACATAGTAGTTCTTAGTATTCCTTCTATCAGTTTCTAGGACTCAGTGTTTTCCAATGCTTTAGTTTTGACTTATTAAAATTTATGTTTTGGGGGCTGGGAAGGTGGCTCAGTGGTAGAGCGCTTGCCTTGCATGCAAGAGGCCCTGGGTTCCATTCCTCGGCACCACATAAGCAAAAAGAAAAAAGCCAGAAGTGGCGCTGTGGCTCAAGTGGAAGAGTGCTAGCCTTGAGCTGAAGAGCTGAGGGACAGCGCCCAAGCCCAGAGTTCAGGCCCCACAACCGGACCCAAAAAATAAAAAAATAAATAAATAAAATTTATGTTTTGAAGAAAAATATCCTCATTGAAGTCTTAGGATATGTTGGATAAAGGCAGTAGAAATGAGATAATGGTAACAAAATGCCTTTAAATAGTCAAAGAATCAGAAGTAAACCACGTGTATACAGAAAATTCTTCTAATATTCCAAATATTATATTTATTTTGAAATTTTCATCAATCAATAATCTTGCTGGCTTAAATTCAAAACAAGTATTTTCTCTTGGGATTTTCTTAATACAAGTTTATGTTTTAAAAGAGTAGATTAGGGGCTGGGAAGGTGGCTCAGTGGTAGAGCTCTTGCCTTGCATGCCTGAGGCCCTGGGTTCGATTCCTCAGCACCACATAAGCAAAAAGAAAAAAGCCGGAAGTGGTGCTGTGGCTCAAGTGGTAGAGCGCTAGCCTTGAGCTGAAGAGCTGAGGGACAACGTCCAGGCCCAGAGTTCAGGTCCCACGACTGTATCCAAAAAAAAAAAATAAAAGAGATTAGAATATTGATAAAATATTCATTTTTTATTTTTTAGGCAATACTGGGGCTTGAACTCAGGGCTCTGTACTTGTTAGGCAGGCACTCTACCATTTGATTCATACTTTCAAGCAACTTTTGCTTTAGGTAGTTTTCCAAATAGCCTCATGTTTTTGCTCAAGGCTAGCCTCAGACTATGATGATTCTCCAACCTGTATTTCCCACAAATCTGGGACAGCTATTATCAAGCATCACACTTATTTGTTGTTTGAAATGGGTCTTATTTTTGTGCAGGCTGGCCTTGAACTATAATCCTATTAATTTCCACCTCCCAAATAGATGGGATTACAGCTGTGAATGTGTGCAGTAGATAAACAGTTTTAGAAACTGTTGCAACATATATGTGATATTAAGTGAATGACAGTCATATACAATGCTGGACTTAATTAAAACTATATCACTGGAAGGAATTAAGTGTATAAATAAGATTTTAGAATATAAGCACACATATAATTCACAACCACTGGCTAAGTTTTGGGAGCTGAGAAAATTGGTCACTGGGTTAAAAGTTATACCTGAAAAGTAAATCAAGAATATTCTTACTATAGGGACAAGGCTCTAATTGGGTATCACAAGGACACTGGTACTTTTGAACCTCTAGCCCTATCTCCTAAACTATCATTACCAATTTCCTAGCCAGCATTCTCAAACTGACTCTCCAATTCAACAACCTTGACATCACCTGGGTACATGTTAGAAATAAGCAATTCTGAGGGAAGATACAGGAAATGTGCTTAGATGAGTTCATTGGCTGGTTTGATACATGCTAACTTTTTTCCTTCTAACATTTTTCTTTCTCCTACTCTAGCACTTGGTCAGAAGGGCAGAGCCAAGACAAGAAAGAATCAAGGGTGTATATGTATGACTCTTTTCACTGTCTCAAGCATTCTTACTCTAGCCCCGTGGCTAGCCCAGATATAGTCCAATACTATGAATGTTCTTAAAGCAATGCCACAGAATCACATAGAAGCTGTATCTTGACAAGATCTCCACAGAAATGTCAATTAATTGTGTTCTGTGGTAGGACACAGGACTGCTGTATTTTAAAGGAACCATAACACAGACCACTTGGTTCAATTAAGAACCAGTGGCCAAATGGGGAAAAGTGGGGAGGAGTGTCTTTTAGAAAAAGAGAACAGAGGGAAGCAAGAAACTTTTTGTTAATCTTTTCCCCCCTCACCTCAAACTTACAAAAATTAAAATTTCAGGGGCTGGGAAGGTGGCTCAGTGGTAGAGCACTTGCCTTGCATGCCTGAGGCCCTGGGTTTGATTTCTCAGCACCACATAAGCAAAAAGAAAAAAGCTGGAAGTGGCGCTGTGGCTCAAGTGGTAGAGTGCTAGACTTGAGCTGAAGAGCTGAGGGACAGCACCCAGGCCCAGAGTTCAGGCCCCACGACCAGACCCCCCCCCCCAAAAAAAAATTAAATTTCAAAAGTGCAATGTGTTTCACAGTAAAGAAAAATTCTTCCCTTTAGTGATCTCAGGGATGAGTTAGTCCTGGAAGAGAGCATGCAGTAATAGTGCAAAATAAAACAGAAGCTATAATCTTCCATCGCAAGAACTCAGAAGGGCAAAGAAAGAGTAAGCCCAGCCCAGGAAGATCCTAGGGCTTTCCCAAAGATGAACACCTAGTCCTTTCTTCCTCATTTCCTGACTCTGGTCTGTACTGCATTAGAGTTCTGCTCTCAAGCTTTCCTCGGTGTTCAAAGCTGAGAGAATCTCTGTTCCTATTGTACACAGTATGAGAAATGGAAGAGTACCTAATTCCTTCCACTGCAATATAGCCTGATGGCTAGACTCCCAAGAACCATTTGATGGATTACAACTCTAGGCCCTTATCAGCCTGACACAGTCTTTTGTTTTTGTAAAGGTGTGTAATTCTTGTGTCTGATTTACATACTAACCAGACCATAATCCCAGATCTGTTATATAAATATCTGTGAGTGGCAATTCAAAGTACATTTTCTTTTCTTCTTTTTTTGCCAGTCTTGGGTCTAGAACTCAGGGCCTAGGTACTATCCCTGAGCTTCTTTGTGCTCAAGGCTGGTGCTCTACTACTTGAGTCACAGTGCTACTTCTGGCTTTTTCTGAGTTGTTTATTGGAGAAAAGAGTTTCATGGACTTTCCTGCCCAGGCTGGCTTCCAACCTCAATCCTCAGATCTCAGCCACCTGAGTAAGCTAGAATTATAGGCGTGAACTACCAGCTCAAAGTACATTTCTAAGATTATGACAATATTGGTAGGAAAGTATTATCTTTGGAGTGTGAATCTTAACTCTCATAATAAAGAAGCTATAGGCTACTTAACCTAACAACTCTGTTTAATCTGTGAAATGTGGGTAACAATTGTACTTTATAAGTTGGTAGAGAAAAAATGTAAGAATATATTAAAAACACAAATAGGAGAATGGAATTATAGTGGGTATTGATATTAATTTTATAACATCTTTTCCCACCACCAAACCAATTTTTACTTTACATAAATTAGAATGTAGCTCAAATTTTTTAATATTGAGATTTTTCTAATAGGTAACAACTTTGTAAACTGGGTCTTATGTGAGTGGTCATTCAGTGAAATAGGTTTATTTTCAGCTCCACATTTAGGAATCTTAATTTCATTTTAACCATTACATGTTTACACATACTTTCACCACTAAGGTCAACGGACAGAATGGCCCTTGGGTACTGATAAGTTGTAGTTTTCTCCGTAAACATGCTTCGTGGAGCCAGAGAACTCCCAGAAGATCGAGTTAGTGGAGAAGAGCACCTTTCCAAAAATTCTAGGGAACTGTCTTCATAGTCTGAATAGTCTGTAACATAAGATACATAAAGACATATTAGTAAAGTCTCAAGTAATCAAGAGGAGTTGCTACAAAACTGAGGAAGTGACATTTCAAGATACACAAAGCAACCACACCAAAACCACACTCTCTCATCCATTACCAACTAGATTATGGATCTGATACAAAGGGCTTGGCCAGAACACTGGGGAAGTCAGTTATTCCACATAGTACACAAAGGTGACACAGGTGAGACTGCAGACTCTAACAGTAAACTCATATGCAGAAATGCAAACAGATTCTACCTTTTCTTCCAGTAAAATCATGATTTATGGTCTGTAGCAATATCTGCAAGATGGAATTAACCTCTATTTTCAATTTCCCATGAAGAAGTTCTTCTGATGTCTAGCACACTGATTATTATAGTGATAATTACAGCAAAAAAAACAAAAACACTCCACCACCTTGAAGGCAATGAACTAGTTCTGGGAAAAGATAACTGTCAAAGTTCTCAGATTAGGATAAGTCATACAGATATAAGAAGGCTGCAATGAGGGAAAAGAAAGCCAGCAGAGGGTGAGATTCTAGATATGTGGGAAGATTCCACAGCCCAAGAGTACACTGCACACTTGACAATCATGATTGCTAGAACACAGTGAGGTACGAGTATGACAGTTTTCACATTTTAATCTTCAAAGTTTTATCCTAATGTAGTATTTTTTTTAATTCACAGGTTATATAAGGGAGAGCAGAATGTCCAGTTATGTTTCTAATAGGCCTCTCAGTAGTAGGATGGTGTAGCAGAGGACACAGGTACATGGAGAGATGGAACACAAGCCAGAGGTATGGCAGTGGTCCAGGTAAGACATGCTGGTGGCTTACAATGTAATGGTGGTAATGGAGTGAAAGATATAGAAGATGCAAAAACGTTACAGACCTAATGTAGAAAGCAGAGATGGAGCTCCACATTTCTGCTTGAGGAACTAGGTAACACAAATAGGTTTCAGAGGGAGCTAGTCAGTAGATGGAGATAAGGAAAACAGAGTAGTTTAGAAGAGAGATTTCTTTCTAAGGTTGGGAGAATGTAAGCTCACACATGTAATACTAGCTACTCAGGAGGCTAAGTTCTGATGATCAAGGCCTAGGCAGGAAACTGCCAGAAAACTGGAAGTGGTGCTGTGTCTCAAAGTGGTAGAGCACTAGTCTTGAGCAGAAGAGCTCAGGGACAGAGTCCAGGCCCTGAGTTCAAGCCCCATGACTGACAAAAAATAAAAAGGGTTGGTGAATGTAATGATACAAGGGTTGGATAGTGAGAAATGCCAGGATTTTAAGAAAAAAGGCATACTTTCCCTTCATTTTAGTAGAGTCTTACATTCAGGTAAGAATGTAGCTATGGATAGACAGGGATAAGTAAGGGGAAACAAAGGAGGAGGCAACAATGCTTGATAAGAAATGTACTCATTACCTTGCTCGTGTAATTGTAACCTCTCTGTACGGTATTTTCACAAAAACTTATTAATAAAGAAAATCTTAAGTTTCCCCCTTGTATGTCTATTTTCTTAATTGAGTGTGAGGCAAATGCTGGCACTGAGGCAGATTTAAGAACAAGAAAGAGGAAAGAACAGGAAAAAGTGAAGGAAAAAGCAGGGACACATCTTTATAGGAGAGAAGTGGTAATAAAACTGTTCAGTACAAGCTATCCATTTGAGGCTTGTGGTTGTTGTAGGCAGCATTCATCCTCTGACCCTTACCCCACCTGACCCTAGAACTTGTCAACACTTCAAGTTACATGGAGAAGGGAAAGTAAGGTTACAGAAGAAATGAAAATAAGTAGCTAGCTTTAAAATAAAAATATTATAGAGGTTACTTGAATAGACTTGATATAATCTCAAAGTTCTTGAAAAAAGAAAAAGTGTTAATGTCAGAAGTAATATGGGGAAAACTTGACTGGTTAACACTAGCTTTGAAGATGGGAGGGGATAAGAGCCAAGAAATGGGACGGCATCTAGAAACTGGACAAGGCAGGTACACAAACTTTCCACTAGAACCTCCAGAAAGGAACATGGTCTAAAGATATCTTGATTTTAGCTCAATGAGATCTACTTGGGCATTCTGACCTCTAGAAGTTAAAGAAAACAAATCCACTAATAATAGAAACATGTGAAAGCAACTATAGGAAATATACACAAGTGACCATCATAAATATTAGAATAGAGACAGGTACTATTGGCTCATACCTATAATCCTAACTACTCAGGAGGCTGAGACCCAGAAGATCATGATCAAAGCCAGCCTGAGCAGGGAAGTCTGTGACATTCTCTCCAAGTAACTAGCAAAGATGTCAGACTAGAGGTACGGATCAAGTGGTAAAGCCCCAATCATGACCAAGAAAGCTCATTAAGATTACAATGCCCTGAGTTCAGAGCATTGACTTGAGTTCAGTTCTAGTACTAGCAATATATAAACAAATGTACACATGCCAAATTGGAGGCTCTCTGAAGGCTCTCAAAACCACCTCAATAAGGAAGGTTTGGCTGCAAGTACTATTAGGAAATGAAATAGCTAAAGCAACTACTCAAGGACACTCAGCTCTTACTAAGCAAAGCCAACAGTCAAACCTAGACTACTTGACAGCTTGACTCCAGTATAAACAGGGATTTCAACATTTAATGTGTGCATTATCAGGAAAGCTCTTCAAAGCCCAGGTACTTATGCCTCACTCTCCAGTGGGAGTACTGAAGACAACCAAGCTGTCTCTGTGAGGCATTATACTACTCTGCCTCCAGTGGATTCACAGCTATCACAATTTGCTACCACCATGTTATCTAGACAAGGGCATAGTAGGGACATATGTTATATATTAAGTAGTATGTCTGGTACTTCCCAATGATCACATTACTTAATCCTAATGAATGATACAGCAGAAAGTATCATTACCATATTAGAGATGATAACTAAGATGTAGAAAATTTATATAAACTGCTAAAGGTCACCCAACATAAATGTTAGATTCAGAATCTAACCTTCAAAGCTACCCATTTTATCCATGAAATCTATCTTGCTCTCTGAAGAAAAGGAACAGAAAGTTCTAATTGTAAAAACAATAAAAAGAAATCACAATTTTGTTCAGATTCTAAAGCAACACTGTGAGTTTGAATCTGCTTTTCACTACTTGGTAGCTTTTTGAGTAGGCAAGTTTCTTTCTCTCTGTCTGCCATAGGTAAGTGTAATATATACTCATCAGGTCATAGTGTAAAGGCTAAGCATGAAGACTCTGAACACTGATTCACATGTATAAACTCCTCAGACAGTGTTTGGTGTATAGCAAGTACTAACACTAGGGGCTGGGAAGGTGGCTCAGTGGTAGAGCGCTTGCCTTGCATGCATGAGGCCCTGGGTTCGATTCCTCAGCACCACATAAGCAGAAAAAAAAAATGCTGGAAGAGGCACTGTGACTCAAGTGGTAGAGCGCTAGCCTTGAGGTGAAGGGCTGAGGGGCAGTGCCCAGGCCCAGAGTTCAGGCTCCACAACCAGAACGCCCCCCCCAAAAAAAGTACTAGCACCAGATGCAAAACAATAAAGAGGTAAATAAAATGGAACAATAAAAGACCCCGAATAACAAAAATGATCCTTAACAAAAAGAACAGTGCTGGAGGAATATCAATACCAAATTTCAAACTCTACTACAAAGTCATAGTAATCAAAACAGCTTGGTACTGGCACAAGAACAGACCTGAGAACCAATGGAATAGAACAGAAGACCAAGAAATGAACTCATAGACCTATAGTCACTTAGTCTTCAATAAGGGAGCTAAAAAAATAGAATGGAAGAAATACAGCCTCTTCAGTAAATGGTGCTAGCAAAATTGGTTATTCTCCTGTAGAAAACTAAAGCTAGATCTTTATATATCACCCTGCACCAGAATCAACTCCAAATGGATCAAAGACCTTGGAGTCACCCTGAAAGTATTACAGGAAGGAATAGGAGAAACCCTAGGGCTCCTTGGCACAAGCTGAAATTTTCTTAATAGAGACCCAGGAACCCAACAAATCAAAGAAAGGTTGGACAAATGGGATTGCATGAAGTTACAGAGCTTCTGCATGGCAAAGGACATAGCTAGCAAGATTAATAGAAAGCCCACGGATTGAGAGAAGATCTTTACTAGCCATACAATGGACAAGGATCTCATATCTAAAATATACTTGGAACTCAAAAAATTAAATCCCCCAACAACAAATACTCAAAGAAACAACTGCCCTATAAATAAGTGGGCTAAAGATTAAAGAAACTTCTCTGAAGAGGAAATAAGAATGGCCCATAGACACATGAAGAAATGCTCAACCTCTCTAGCCATAAAAGAAATTCAAATCAAAACAACATTGAGATTCCACTTCACCCCAGTTAGAATGGCTATAATCAAGAACTCTAATTAAACAACAGATGCTGGAGGGGATGTGGCCAGAAGAGAACCCTACTGCATTGTTGGTTGGAGTATAAACTTGTAAAAGAGAATTTTAAAAATATCTTCCTGCTCTTATTTGTAGACAATAATAATATGAATTTTTAATATTAAGATGATTTGTTCTAGCAATACTTCCAGTTTGAACTCACATATTTATACCTTCCTAGGATAGAGCAATGTCACTGAGCTAGGCTGTTAGTCTTGATTTTTGCTGGTTATTTTATGACATAGTTTCCCCTCTCATTCAGGTATATATGAACATAGACCATGATCTCCTTGTTTTAGACTTCCCATCATCACAGAATCATATGCACACACCACCGTGTCAGCTTCCCTTCCATGGACATAGAATATGAATTCTTCTGAGACTAGCCTGGGACCATGATCCTCCCAATCTCAGCTTCCATGTAGCTAGGGATGATAGCCATGCACCCAGCTTTGGGTTGAGAAGAGGCCTCAAACCATGATCTTCCTATTTTTAGGCCTCCTCTCCCTCAAATAACTAGGTCTATAGGCATGGATCACCAGCACTTGGCTCAGACTTGAAACCCTGTATTTCTCACTCAA